ACAAGACTTAAAATGCTATTTTAGTGGAGGCTTTATTGTCTTCACAATTTATTGTTTCTTATCTGTGAATACAAGTAAATACAAGCTTCGTTTCCACAGAGGGAAATGGTTTCAGCTCACAGAAACAGACAGGAGGTCTGCGTCACTGCGACGCTGAGCATGAGGGTGGGCGAGTTCAACTTACTGTCAACAATGGGGTGTTTTGAAAACACCCCCATTTTCACAGGTAACTTAGCCTGTCCCCCGCCGCAGGAAATAATGGATTAATCCTGGAAAGCTGTTGATGTAGCACTTTTCTCCTTATAAAAGAAACATGGCGATTATTCAAGGAGAGCATATCGACCAAATAATCGACTAGTCGACCAGGAGACTACAGCCCTATAAGAAATGTACAGTTTCTGCTTGAAATGTTGGTTAATGAACTTGTATTTACGGTTATTTCCCTGTGCAACACAAGCACATGGTTAGGTTTAAAAATATATACAGTACAGGCCAAAAGTTTGGACACACCTTCTCATTCAATGCGTTTTCTTTATTTTCATGACTATTTACATTGTAGATTCTCACTGAAGGCATCAAAACTATGAATGAACACATGTGGAGTTATGTACTTAACAAAAAAAGGTGAAATAACTGAAAACATGTTTTATATTCTAGTTTCTTCAAAATAGCCACCCTTTGCTCTGATTACTGCTTTGCACACTCTTGGCATTCTCTCCATGAGCTTCAAGAGGTAGTCACCTGAAATGGTTTTCCAACAGTCTTGAAGGAGTTCCCAGAGGTGTTTAGCACTTGTTGGCCCCTTTGCCTTCACTCTGCGGTCCAGCTCACCCCAAACCATCTCGATTGGGTTCAGGTCCGGTGACTGTGGAGGCCAGGTCATCTGACGCAGCACTCCATCACTCTCCTTCTTGGTCAAATAGCCCTTACACAGCCTGGAGGTGTGTTTGGGGTCATTGTCCTGTTGAAAAATAAATGATGGTCCAACTAAACGCAAACCGGATGGGATGGCATGTCGCTGCAGGATGCTGTGGTAGCCATGCTGGTTCAGTGTGCCTTCAATTTTGAATAAATCCCCAACAGTGTCACCAGCAAAACACCCCCACACCATCACACCTCCTCCTCCATGCTTCACAGTGGGAACCAGGCATGTGGAATCCATCCGTTCACCTTTTCTGCGTCTCACAAAGACACGGCGGTTGGAACCAAAGATCTCAAATTTGGACTCATCAGACCAAAGCACAGATTTCCACTGGTCTAATGTCCATTCCTTGTGTTTCTTGGCCCAAACAAATCTCTTCTGCTTGTTGCCTCTCCTTAGCAGTGGTTTCCTAGCAGCTATTTGACCATGAAGGCCTGATTGGCGCAGTCTCCTCTTAACAGTTGTTCTAGAGATGGGTCTGCTGCTAGAACTCTGTGTGGCATTCATCTGGTCTCTGATCTGAGCTGCTGTTAACTTGCGATTTCTGAGGCTGGTGACTCGGATGAACTTATCCTCAGAAGCAGAGGTGACTCTTGGTCTTCCTTTCCTGGGTCGGTCCTCATGTGTGCCAGTTTCGTTGTAGCGCTTGATGGTTTTTGCGACTCCACTTGGGGACACATTTAAAGTTTTTGCAATTTTCCGGACTGACTGACCTTCATTTCTTAAAGTAATGATGGCCACTCGTTTTTCTTTAGTTAGCTGATTGGTTCTTGCCATAATATGAATTTTAACAGTTGTCCAATAGGGCTGTCGGCTGTGTATTAACCTGACTTCTGCACAACACAACTGATGGTCCCAACCCCATTGATAAAGCAAGAAATTACACTAATTAACCCTGATAAGGCACACCTGTGAAGTGGAAACCATTTCAGGTGACTACCTCTTGAAGCTCATGGAGAGAATGCCAAGAGTGTGCAAAGCAGATATCAGAGCAAAGGGTGGCTATTTTGAAGAAACTAGAATATAAAACATGTTTTCAGTTATTTCACCTTTTTTTGTTAAGTACATAACTCCACATGTGTTCATTCATAGTTTTGATGCCTTCAGTGAGAATCTACAATGTAAATAGTCATGAAAATAAAGAAAACGCATTGAATGAGAAGGTGTGTCCAAACTTTTGGCCTGTACTGTATATATATATATATAATGGTTTGGCTTTACATTCATATAGGAAGCAAACACCAGGTTCCAGGTGAAAGTCCCGGGTTTGTTTAACCTGCCCACCCTATAGGGACTTTCCAGCTCCTTATATGACGTTGTTAGTGACAGCCTTTCAAACTGACGCCATCCAATGACATATCATACCGCCATGATAGGTACTGTTTGGCCAACTGGTGGCGTATCACCATAAAATAAGGTTCCATCCGGCCGTGCTACACACTGACGCTGTCCGCTGGTGGGTTTTGGCGCCAGTGTTTGATGCTGAAATCACTGACAAAGTGGTGGCATTTCACGAGTTTGGACCGAGGATGGGTCGCCTCATTCAGATATCTTGACGTCAGAGGTTAAGGTTGAAAATGACCATGTCAGTTTTTCCCCCGCCAACATTTAGAAAAAAAGGTTTGGAGCATTATTTAATCCCTGTTTTGCCTTGGATTTTCAGTTTTTATAAAAAAAAAAAAAATAACATTACCTTTGCGCTACTGTAAAAGCCTCTTAAAGACCGTAATGTCAGCCTCCAACTATTTTTGATTATTTATTTGCAAGTGGGGCCGTTGTATCAGGGTGGCCATGGCCCCCTCCGGCCACCCTTTAGCTTCACTGCATTCAGCATCTTGCCATGAATTATTCTGCTTGTTTGAATCATGTTATTTTGTATATTAAGGGCTAAAATTGCAGGAGATGGCGCTCCAGAACTCTCTCTCATAGATTAACTGGTTGACCGACGTCAGTCACACCCGTCCAAGCGCTAAGATAAATTGCTGCACGGCTCAGCTGAATGTAAAGATAAATTTAGCGTCAGTAATGTTGTTAACACCACTCAGTACAGACATGTGTGTTTGGAACACAGAGGCACGGATGTTGTTATGTGTTACGCAAGTTCAAAAAAAACCCTCAGTGTCCTGTGTGTGTGTGTGTGTGTGTGTGTGTGTGTGTGTTTGTGTCTTTTACTTCCTCCCCTCCCTCTCTGTATACTGCTGACCAAATTAAATTGAAATCAGTCTCTTTCTGTTCTCATTATTCCCTCTGTGTTCTCTCACCTGAGTCTGCGGCTCAAGTACGCTCATGCTTCAGTATTGTTTTATTTATTTTCAGATGAACTCTCATAGTTGTTTTAATATTTGGTTTCTTTTAGGTGCTGTGAAGTGCATGTGAAGAGGAGAGTCTGCTGACTTCTGGTGTCAAGGATGGGAAAGACGCTGTCGGTGCCAGACGACTTGGAGCAAGCGGCGGAGGCGCTGTCAACAATCAGCGGTAGGGATCCCTGCAGTGTGTGTGTGTTATTTTATCACTGTAGTGTGGCCCGAGGGTTGTCTGAGTCATGTTCTGATGTCACACAGACAATGGGCCGTACACTAATATTAGATAATTCCAAAAAATGTTGTAGTTTAATTTTTGCAACTGATTGAGTTCCGTAAGTGCTGTCACATGTTTATGCAGGGGCTGCAAGTATGACGTGTGTTTGATTTGATTAGTTAAGTGTGTCAGGATGAACAGAAGAGAAAATCATTTCACAACACAGAGTAATTTAACCTCTCCAAAGTGTTTATGCCCAGCATGAATAGACCATATTAGTATTTATAACCAGTATAAATCATGTTTAAATTTCCAAGAGAGCAGTTGAAGAACGGGCTCTACCAGCAACAAGCCACAATAATAGAGTTTGTTGTCAGAGTGATTTATGTTGAAGGCATTTCAGAGCAGGAGAGCAAAGGTTTTGATCTTTCAGACACATAATGAAAGTGTTTGATCCTTGCTCGCTACTTTTAGAAGTTTAAATTGGGAATGCACATTTGCACAAAGCAAATGTGCGCTGATAACTTAATGAACTGGAATAAAGATAATGTGATAGTTGAAGGTAGGTGGAGGCCTTTACAGATGGCACCAGTGTCGTCTCCCCATCACCAGTAGAGCCAATGGATGTATAAAGACAACTGGATACAGCATTGGAGGCGGTTCCCCATTCGTTCCTATGAAAGTTGCTTAGTGGTGCATAAAGCCAATAGCATGTGACTTCCTGATCTTGTGCTTGTTTGGGCCCAATGAGCGCACCAGAGACTGAGCCAGAGCCTGTGCAATAATGATCTACCATCCAAACATCTGTCCAAGCTAAATTGCTTCCCATGTTTGATTTATATTTAATAGCGTATAATTTAATCGTTCATGGTAATAAAACAGCCTTGGGGTCATGTTTACTGTGAGAAATTAGTCACTAGTTTCCTCATGAGGACGGTGAATTGATAGCTGCTGTTGTGAAGATGATGTCGAATAGCTGACACACTCTTTATCTTATGTACACACACACAGAGAAACACAAATTATTGATATAGTTCTTGCTGGACTTCAGACACCTGATTGTATGTGATTTCAACCCTTTGAAACCTGAGAAAATTGTCTTGAATTCCGTGAAAAACATGGGAAAAAGTCAACGAGCAACTTGAGAAGAAATTAGTAAAAAGTACAAGAAAAATACCTTAAAAATAGCCCAACAAAAAGAGAAGTGCAAAAAAATGACCTGATTTTTTTTAAAAAGTCCAAGAAAACTACTCGAAAATTAGCAAAAAAGTAGTTACAAGAAAAATACCTTAAAATAGCAACAAAAAAGTAAAAAGAGCAAGAAAATGACATGAAAATTAGTGAAAAAAGTACAAGAAAAATACCTTTTAAAAATAGCAAAAAAAAAGAGAGAGTGCAAAAAAGACCTGAAAATTAGCAAAGAAACGTACGAAAAACTAACTGAAAACTAGCAAAAAAAGTTGAAAAGTGCAAGAAAATTACATGAAAAAAAGTACAAGAAAACTACCTTAAAAATAGCAAAAAAAGAAAGTAAAGAGTGCAAAAAAAGACCTGAAAATTAGCAAAGAAACGTACGAAAAACTAACTGAAAACTAGCAAAAAAAAAAAAAAAGTTGAAAAGTGCAAGAAAATTACATGAAAAAAAAGTACAAGAAAACTACCTTAAAAATAGCACACACAAAAAAAGAAAAGTGCAAGAAAACTAGTAAACTGGAAAATTAGTGAAAAAAGTACAAGAAAAATACCTTAAAATTGGCAAAATATAGTTAAAGTCCAAGAAAAATACTCGTAAATTGGCAAAAAAAAAAAAGTAGTAAAAAGTACAAGAAAAATACCTTTTAAAAATAGCAAAAAAAGTAAAAAGTGCAAAAAAAAAAAGACCTGAAAATTAGCAAAGAAATGTACGAGAAAACAAACTGAAAATTAGCCAAAAAAAGTTGAAAAGTGCAAGAGAATTACATGAAAATCAGTGAAAAAAAGTACAAGAAAACTACCTGAAAGTTAGCAAAAAAAATGGTTAAAAAGTACAGGAAAAATACTCGGAAATTGCCAAAAAAAAAAAAAAAATAGTAAAAAGCACAAGAAAAATACCTTAAAAATGTGGACATTTTCCCTGGCTTATTTTTAATTATTATTTTTATTTTTGTTATTTATATGATTATTATTTTCTACATCTTCTATTTTCTTGCAGTTTGTGGGACGTGTTTTGCCACAAGTTTTTTCCTTGTTTGAAGAAAATTAAAGCAAGTTGCTCAGGGTTCAAAGGTTTCAATACTTGCGACAGATGTATGAAAGCAGCACAAGGCAAGTGATGTCAATCCAGGTTTCAAAATTTGAAACTCAAACTAAACATGTAGGTGACTGTATTGTATTTACTTTGTCCTTCTGTACCCTGGTGAAGAGTCCAAATCACACACAGTTATGTGTTGGTATAATTAGTTGCAGGAGGGTTTAGGTCATCCCTCCACCCCTCTCTTCCTGTGATAAACACAGAGCCGACATGAAGTGAGATAAACAATCACACATTTACAAGAGAGCAAACAGGAGGAGAGCTCGTAGACGTAGCATGAGCCCTACTGTGATACGACGATGTCTCTGTTGGAGCTGATACAAGAGGGTCAAGAGGTGCTGACCGGACTGCTCCACAATCTGTCTGCGTCTATCAGTCTGTTGACCCGACACTCACACAGCAGGAGCTGTGCACTGACAGGTCAGTGATCGTTGAGGTTCGGGTGTGTGTTCTGTGAACATGTTCAAAGAGTGTTCTGGTCTGTCTGTTATTTGAATCAATGTGACAGGACGAGAGGACAGGATGTCCTGTTGCCACGGGGAGATTCCCCCCCGCCATGTTTCCCCCTCATTATTCAGACATAATAGAAGAACCTTACTATTTAGCTCCCTGCTGATCTACAGTGCAGAAGCTCTGCTGTAGTTTGACTTGAGATTTGACCGTAGGGACTGCAGATGGAAACGAACATCATTTATTATTTTGCATTTTATTTTGAACCTCTCTCTCTGGATAATAACCTCTGCCACCAGTGTGTGAATGGGAGGATGTGACAGTAGTGTTAAAACACTTTGCGCAGCCGGAAGATCAGACAGGTGTTATACATGTGCAAGTCCGTTTACTGGCACTGAACTGAAAAAGTAACACTCTTTGTTGAGGTGCAAATTCAGAAAACTTCTTCTCTGTATACAGCAGCCCTGCTTTGTTGTATTTAGCCATTAATTGTCTGGATGTCTGACTGAAAATGCCTCATTTAAATCATAATTAATCAGGGACTTTAAAGCCAAAAACAGACAAACAAAAAAGAGCAACTCAGTCTCCTAGTGAGAATTACATCACCTGTATTAATTGAACTGCATTTTTGATCTTGTGTGTATGTGTACTGTAAAAAGCCAGCCTTAGTTTTCGATCAGTATACCAGGGTTGTGCTCATTTTATACAATAGTAAATTGTTCTTGTGACAGATGTTCAGCATTAATTTGCGTGCATACTGTTTTGAGCTACAGATCACATGATCTTGAATCATCATTTGAATTGCATAAACAAACCAGACGCAGTTCAGTGGGCGAGTGAACCTAGTCATTGCTTAAACCTTACCTAGGAGATTGCAACAGTTATTTCTAACGTTACATACCAAAACTGATTTATTACTAGCTAAAGGCAACTGTTATGACAACATGACAACACCTTCTCTCTGCCTCAGCAAACGTTACGAGACCTATTAGCTAGTAGCTAGCTACAGTAGCTAGTGCTAGCTCTCTGACTAGCTGCACCACCGGCTAGCAGCGTTACAGTTTACATAGGCATTTAGGACGCAAACTAAACTATTAGCATTGATACAACTGTGTACAGAAAAATAATAGTCGTTCAACATTTTATTCCCTATTTTCAATAACTTCAATCTTACTTGCTGCCAAATCAAAATCCTTGCAATCGATTGTGCGTTGACTCTGAGCTGCGGAGCTCTCGTCTCGAGACACTAGCCATGTTTCCATCCAAAAGTGATTCGAATCAATGGGAAATGCGCATTAAAAGAAATATGAATCCTGTGTGTTTCCATTAAATGTACGGACTTTGGTGAAAACTACGAACTCGTGCAAGTTTTCCGCAGAACCGGAAACAAAACAAGTCTCGCATTCTTCTTCTACGTTTTCTGGCGGTTGGCAACCAGCGTGTAAATGCATTACCGCCTTCCTGACCCGGAGTGTGGATATCACCATGGAGAGAGGTGCGCTACGTCAGACTTAATTCGAACATAACTGTTTCCATCCCCCGTTTTACGAATCAACATTTTTTCGAATCAACCAAAACCCGGCTAAAGCGAGCGTAATTTAGTTTGTGTGAATCAGGGGATTTTAATTTGAATTTTGGCATTTCCATCATAATTTTCTGATGCGATACTTCTAGATGCGCATCTAAACAGGCTGATGGAAACATGGCTACTGACAGGCACGCTGGTCAAGTATTGACACCAAGCGAGGGAGGGAGGAAAAGTAGGCTGTTGATTGGATAGCTTGCTGAACGCAGCTGTAAACCAGGTTTCGCAAGTTGTGAATGGTAATTCTAAAACGGTGATTTCGCGAAGTAGGCTACAGTTTTCTCTCAGTATTATTTTTGGTTGGGACAATTCGTGATTCCGTGGCTTTGGTATGGACATGTCCATAGAGTCCATACCTAAAACTACGCCTCTAACAGTTCCCAGATATAAAGAAATGTATCCTGGGATCTACAGTATATAACCTAAGCACAAAATTAAAGAAATTTGTGTTTGGTAGATTATTTCTTTGTTGTTACAATGCTTCTTGGCAATAAATCTTATACCGTTAGGAAGCCTGTTTATTTCCCTTTTTAAATGGTGCCACATTTGTAAGGAACATGCATTTGTGGGATGAGCAGCAGAGCTGAGTATGTGGGTTGCGCCCATGAAAACTGCCAAATCTTCTCTGCCATTAAGTGGTGTTGTCACTCTGTTGATGCTGCGTTGTCCCTAACACATGTTGCCTCTGTATTGCACACACAGACATAAAATCGATTGTGTTATATCATCACCCTCACTCACTGATATAAATGGGGTGGATGAACTCTTACTGGAATACTGGTTCATCATTCATAAGACTTTACTTTAGGCCATCCTGAACGAAACAAGCAACGGTTTCATTTCTCCGCCATTAATAGTTAAATGCCAACATTTGATTCATATTTAATGGTGTATAATATCATGATTCTTAGTATTAAAATGTTGCCTTGTCGTTTGGGATCATGTGTTTTTGTGTGAAAGGGAGCTCATCTTCCAGTTTTGTTTTCATGTATTGCCTCTGTTTTGCACACGCAAGAATGAAATTGTCAATATTCTCATCCAACATCCAGTAAGACCGTAAACAAATGCACTGGACTTCCCAAAATGTTGTTGTATTCCTGTAAGTGCAGACTCAGCAGACCAAGAGGGGCATTAGGAGTCACATGCAGATTCTCTACCCTGGAGGGTAATGCCTTGAACGCAGCTCTCTCTGGTGTTTGACCTTTGTAACTGATTACCGATATAGCCCTTGTGAGTAGCTAATTGATAACCAATGTCTCAATACACCGGCAACAGAAATTGGATGGTCAAGAGACAGATGGGACAAACAGAAAGTCAAATAAACTGATAGAAAGACTGGTTGATGTGTTCATTATGTCTGCCAGACTCTGCTGTGGGCGACAGCCAGCACACAGGAAACAGAATCATAAAAGCGTGCAGACTCACAGACGAGGTGAGTGTCGTCTTAATGTAAGAACTTCTGTTATTTTACCTCTGGGATTGGGCACATTTTCACTGGTTGCACTTCATAAAAGGTTAAATTCAGTCAGTATTGATTGGTAAAAATTCACATTTCACCCCTGTGACACAGCCTGATCAATATTTGTGCTCAGGAACAACTTTCCCACCGGCCAGAAACCAGACAGGCAGAGGATTAATCGTGGTTTGTAGACATTAGATACGAGGTTGATTCTGCGCAGAGCTTTTCTATCCAAACACACAGTAATCCTCTTAGGCTCTTTATGTGTTATAAAGACATCTGACTGGCAGCGTGCCGCTGATTCTTCCGCACTGCCACCAGTGAAACTGAGAGTTAAAGAACTTCTGCCTGAGATGTAGAGTTTTAGCTTGAGCAAGACATTCTGCTAACAAGCTATGCAAACAAACACGAGTCTAGATTAGAGTTCTGCACAGTATTGGCAATACTGAGAGATGAGAATAGACGCAACCATGAGTGTTTGTGTAATTGTGCTTGTTGCAAAAGGCTTTCCTCAGTTTAAGGCGGGAAAAGAGAGACACTGACAATCAGGTCGTCGATGGACTATGAACTCTTTCATTTATGTAATTCTTCTGTTCAACACAAGTGCTCGTTTTAAAACCTTACCTTTATTTTGAAAGGTGCTTTTCCACGTATTGTCTTATATATCCACCTTACTTCTGAGGGTGCTGCTGTAGAAATGATTATGGGTAAAACTTCTGGTGAGTTAGCAGAAGTCGCAGTGAACTAGTTGGTTGCATTGACCATCTGTGGTTTGTTCCAGAGGCTAGTCTTGGTGGATAGCTGCCGATAGCAGTTCTTCTTTTAAGTTTTGTTTTTAACAGTCTATGTTTGTAACGTTAGTAACAAGGGGTTCCTGAAGATCCTTTAACAGTCTTTAAAAGTATTAAATTTGATTTTGAAAATTTAAGGCCATAAAATGTCTTAAAAAGTCTTATTTTTACTTGTGAGAAGTCTTAAATTTTGGGAGGAGACATGTCTGAATACCTAATCAAATCTACCAATTACTGTATCTATTTACATGATTAGTTACATGATTTTATTACTTTATTACTCATAACGTGGTCACAAGTAACGACATCGAGGCGACTTAGAAGATATACTGAAAAAATTGGGACGATGGGAGTTAAAGCATCAGGCATTGGAGAACCGATGAGATGTGAACGTGATGTTTACTGCTGTGTATTAATGCAGTTTGTTGGTGTTAAATGGTATTAATTTTTCTTTGTTGAGGTCTTAAAAAGGTCTTAAAATGTCTTAAATTTGACTTTAAAAAGTGTGCAGGAACCCTGTAACAATCAGACTGAACTACCATAAAACTTAAATTACAGGCCTAGCCCCAATTAAACGCCCGGTCTCTTGTACTAACCTGGTGTAGCTACACATTTTGACAAATAAAGGCCTGTCTCAATTAGAGGCCTGGTCTGGTTGCCAAGCAGTTCATTTTTATAGAAGGTCTTTGGATTTATAAAACCATATTGTTGGCTACTGGCTCGAGCTAATGTTAGTTAGCTGTTTATTTCCCTTTTTAAATGGTGTCGCATTTGTGGGATGAGCAGCAGAGCTGAGTATGTAGGTTGCGCCCATGAAAAATTAGCCAAATCTTCTCTGCCAATGCCAAATCGCTTTGTTTTGCTATTGACTCTTGTTTGATGTTGTTCGGTAGATTGGATGGTTGAAGTCTGAAGAAACAAGACATATTGGCAATTTAACAATTTATTCATATAACAAACAGGAGCCTCATTAGCATGTGGAAGAAGCATACACAGCCACAACAGCCTGGCTCCTCCTCCTCATGCTGGTTGTTAAATTGCCAATATGTCTTGTCATCCAATCCACCAAACAACACCGAACAAGAGTCAACAGCAAAAAAAAAAAAAAAAAAAAAAGCTGTTTGGCATTGGCAGA